CATTGCAGGCAGATTCTTTACCACTGAGCCACCAGGGAATCCCCTCTCCTATTCAACCACTGGTCAAATCCTGTTTACTCTACTTCAGCGCTATCCTTTGCATCTCCATCCTCGTTTTCCTTTCTGTTTCTAAACTACTTCTCAGTCTGCTAAGGGTTCTCTCTGCTTTTAGCCTTCCCATCACCAGTTCCAGCTATTAATCCATCCTAGATGGTGTTGCTATTTCATTTCCTAATGCACAACTCTAATCTATCTACTGACCCAATGGCTGCCAAATACTGTCAAGTTAATATCAAAACAACCTGACTTTCAAGCCTTGTCACAAGCTGATTCCACCTATTTTGAGGAGGGGGGTCTTTCCCCACTGCCCAAATACAACAGTCATATCAAGCTATTTGCCCTCAGGTATATGCTGTCTCCATTTTCTCTTCGCTCATGCCTCTCTTTTCTATCCATCACACTCTGTGAAATGAAATACTCCAGGCCTTCAAGGCTCGTTCCGAAGTACAGGATGCCTGCAGCCTTCCTCCTGGTTCGGTTTCTCTCTTCCCACTCCTGCCTGAAAGGAACCACCTTCTTCCCTGCACTTTCCGCTTCTCTCCTCTAACATACATTTCTGTCTGTGTCAGAGTTGTCTGAAGTTGTTCTTGTTCGTTCCCCATTTGAGCAGGGAGCAGACTCCACATCCCTTGCTTCAGGGAGGTCAGGGGCAGAATAAGAAACAGAATTGATTTCTGGCTCTTTCTTTTTAAAAGCCAGAGGCCCACGGGGAGGATAGAGTTTTAGAGAAGGTTAGTGGCTTGGAAAAACAGGAGAAAAACATCAGACTAAAAGGAAATTCTTCCAATTAGGGGTGGAAGCAACTTCTGCAGATTCTGCTTCTCGGCAGGGGCCATGGTGGGGAAAGACCCTGAGAGGAAGAGCTTTTGGACGAAGCATCTGGGGAGCTGGGGCCACGGGCAGCAACATTCTGTCTTGCCCAGAAGCAGCAGGTAGCCACCCGGTGTGCAGGCACCATGGTGAGAGACACAATGGGATGGGCTGCTCAGCAGAGGGCCTTTCCCAAAGCCCTTATTATTGCATAAGATTCTTGAAAACTTAAATCAACTCCCCCACACCACCCCCATCTCTGGTAATGAGGGGAATGGAGCAGAGCAAAAAATGAGATGAAATTTCCCACCAACCCAGCAGGGTAGAGGTGCAGAGTTTTTAAATTATTGTAAAAAATAGAGATACCATCTCTTTATCACCTGAATTTGTGGACTGATATTCATTCTTGATTTGTTTCAATACACATATCACAACTTCTCCCTTGAGGAAAATTCAATTCAACAATATTTACTGAGTGCCCATTGTGTGACAGGCACCCTTCTAGATGGACAGAGATATAGCAATGAACCAGCCTGAAGACCCATCCCCCAAGGCATTACATTTTTGGTGGGAGGTCAGTGTTCAAGCGCACACACGCCTAGGATACCTATTGACACGAGCCACAAAAAAGAAAAATCAAAGCACTACAGGGAATCCAGCGTGGTGGGAAGTGAGGGCAGGATTACATAGGTGGCGGAAAAAGCCCTCCTGACATGCTGCCATTCAAGCTGGGTCTGAAGGAAGGGCAGGAGGGAGCCCACCCATATCTGAGCGAGTATACTACCAACACTGCAGGACCAGCCGGCAGGCCCGGCCCTGTGAAGAGAACAAAAAGCTCAGGCTCTGAACCAAGAGAGGGGCCTTTGCTGTCAGAGACATGAGAGGCAGTGGATCAAGGTGAAGACCTGGAATTCTCTCAGCTTTGCTCCCTCTGCAGGGTGCCACACTCAGAGTGTGTGCTCAGGGAGCATTTAACTGAATGAAGGGGTAGCCAAGCATCAGACATCACTATTTAAACCACAATGAGAAGTTATAGCTAATGCATATGACACAAAAATGATCCATAAGCTCACAGCCAGATATAACCAATTTTAAAATTTAAATACTAGTCCTACGAGTCTTTTATTATTTGTAGATCCTGAGTTTTTCACATTTGAGACAACATATGTCCTGTTTTCTTCACTTAATCCTATTACAATTTGTAATATCATCCATTAACTCACTGAAGTGACACTGATGTGCATCTCTAGCTGGTTTCAGTACCTTGGACAAAGTGGTAACAAGGCGACTGACTTCTTAAGTGCCACAAGGGGTGCTCAGAAGCCATTAAATTTTTTTTATCATTTATTTTTATTAGTTGGAGGCTAATTACTTCACAACATTGCAGTGGGTTTTGTCATACATTGACATGAATCAGCCATGGAGTTACATGTATTCCCCATCCCGATCCCCCCTCCACCCGATCCCTCTGGGTCTTCCCCGTGTACCAGGCCCGAGCACTTGTCTCATGCATCCCACCTGGGCTGGTGATGTGTTTCACTATAGATAATATACATGCTGTTCTTTCAAAACATCCCACCCTCGGCTTCTCCCACAGAGTCCAAAAGTCTGTTCTGTACATCTGTGTCTCTTTTTCTGTTTTGCATATAGGGTTATCATTACCATCTTTCTAAATCCCATATATATGTGTTAGTATGCTGTAATGTTCTTTATCTTTCTGGCTTACTTCACTCTGTATAATGGGCTCCAGTTTCATCCATCTCATTAGAACTGATTCAAATGAATTCTTTTTAACGGCTGAGTAATATTCCATGGTGTATATGTACCACAGCTTCCTTATCCATTCGTCTGCTGATGGGAAGCCACTGAATTTTATGAGGAGGGGGATCTGTGGGCAACCAAACTTACAGACAGAAAAAGCGTAACAGCCTGGATATCCTGGCTCCAGGATGCCTGCTGCTAACAGAGGGAACGTCCCGGCTTCCCTACACACAGGGCATGGTGACCGTTAGCAAGATGGTGCTTGTGAATTTTCCCCTGTCCTTCTGGGTTTAAGGCATTGAAACAGTTCCTAAAAGAGTCATTTTGTTCCTCTTGGGTCTCTGTTTTACTCTAGTAACTGCCCCCACCTGTTCCTAATGTTCTCTCTGGAGGAAACATTCAGCTTGATTCAGTGTCTATAACCTGTGGCATTCTAAAAGAGCCAGACCATGTTGTAACACAAGGAAACGTAGCTCAAACTCCTAAGATAATAACCATACATTAGAAAATATAAAACGTATTTATTTTCAGTGTCCAGGATTATAAATTCTTCAACTAAGAAAATAAAACATGTGCCTAGGTTTAAAAAAAAAAAATCAGAAAGGACTTATAGAAATCAAACCTAAGCTCTTCTCTGATGCAGCTTCCTTTCCTTCCGTCTGCTTTGGAAATGGCTGTTGCTGGAAAAACTGTAAGGCCTGTGCTAGGGTATCCTCTTAGCCCCTAGAGGAATATAATGGGCGTGTTCATGGCCAAAAAGGAAGACCCCATTATGTGTTTTTGGAGTAAATGCAGATTCTTACAAATGAATCAACATTGCTATAGCTTGAGGATGATTTAGGCTGGTTGCTGCAGCTACTTTTTCACCCATGAGCAACAAATTAATTTATTCAAGACCTGCATTACTGAAAGGAAAACAAAACGGAGGCAGGACAAAATTAATGGGAAACTTAAGAAAATCACAACCACCAACAAACAACCCTCAGTTTGGCTGAGATAATTACAGCCAGATGGAGGAGGGAGCCCAGGTAACCAGATGGTTAGGATGCATCTAAGGACAGAAACGGCTGTGCATCAGCTAGCACAGTCCCAAACCTTCAAATCATTTGGAGTAGGAAAGAATATTTCCTTTTTTCCTCTTTCTCTCCCTTCCACTTTTCTTCCTCTTTCCCTTTTCCCTATAGCAATGGGGATGTTCCATGTTGGCGCTCTTCTAAACAAGAAGGCATAGTGAGATGGGGCTGGGTACCAAAACTAAGGTGCAGGGGTGGATGGAATAGAGCAAAGCATCTAGGACTTTAGTTATGATCATTCTCCCAAAACTCTGGATTTCAAAATAAGACTCCCATCCGAGGGATAATAAAAGGTACATTCAGCTGTTCTAAGCCTGTCCTACAATTTCTGGTGGGCTGTTAGATGCTTTGAGCTTAACCAGACCTGTGCATATCCTCTGTCTAATTCTATCATGTGGCTTCTAATGCCTTCATATGTAGCCTCTGGCAACAAAGCCATTTTCCAATTGCTAATATCCTCTCCCTTCAGCACTCATCCTGCCAGAATCATTTACAGCTCTGTGTCTGAATCTCCCCAGAAAACAGACTTTTTTCTTTGGCGAGATGGTTTCCGGAAAACAACCCTTTCCACAGGACAAATGAATATAGAAGTTCTGTTCATGACAATCAGCACAATAGTGAAGAAATTCAGGGATCTTGATGCCTCATTAAGGACAAGAAAGTTGCAAAAGTTCTTTATGTGGTATTTTTAAATTTATGGCTCTTATCACATTTGTGACTTCACCCAATTAGTGAAGAACACTAGTTTGTTCATCTTATCAACAATTTTTTGTGTTTCAATTCACTCTGGAAACCCTTACAAGAAACTGCACGAGCTCTACAAAGATAGGGACTTTGGTCTATTGTGTTCAACTCCATACTCGCAGCTTCTAATATGGTAGCTGGCACTTCAAAAGTATTCATTAATATTTAATGTTTAATGAACCAAGGTATTTTCCATTGGGAAACTGAAAGTCTGGCCATCTTTTGATTCGTGGTGTTCTGTGTGAAACAGGTGTTTATCTATCTTAGGGTTAAGAAGGAAAATTCTGACCTATTTTCACTCTTAGGAAGTAACAAGACTCTTAAAATAGACTTCTATCTAGCTTATTTTAAATGTGCAAACTACCACTAGGTATTTAGAAAGTTGATCCTTTCTTCCATTACAAATAAAAATTGCATCTTGTGTCAGAGCAGTACCCATTGTCAGCTACACTCTAAGCCCTGCCTGCAATAACAACAGATTGCTCACCTTATGTTATGCCTACAAAGAAGATTCTGAACTCCAGTAGAAGGGCAGACTTCAAGATACATATGCTAAGATGACATTTTCTCAATTCTCTCCATCTTTGGGGAAACAAAACAAAAATAGAATTTATACATTCCCAAAATACTCCATATTGTTTTGTTTTTAATCATTCTTAGCTATTTGATCTAGTGGCTAAGGATTTGAGAAAATATAAAATTTCCACCTCTGCTTTTCACTGTTAGAAAAAAACCTGATTTCATAGAACTCTAACAACTATTGGCCAAATTCCAGATGAGGCTGTGCAGTGATTAGGAACTGACTTTTAAAAATTCTCTCTTATTTATAATGAAATGATAAACTAAAATCCAGGCTGCTGTAGAATCTTTTCCAGAGAACAATAGTCTGTTCCAAACATGCTGTCAGCTAGAGAGAAAACCAGTGGTGCTCCCAACAGGAAAAGTGGGCTGGGATGAAAGAGGCAGAACTGAATCCTATGAAATTCAGATGGAGATCTAAGAGTTTTCTGGGTTTTCTTTGAAGCTGAGCATAGGGAATATGTACCAGCAAGAGGTAAAACCAATTCATGATGTCAGACCTGGAGCTTCCGAGAGTGCCTCACAGATTGCATGTGGAATTCCCAAGAAAAGGAAAGCACATGCATTAAGAAATCTCCAATGTGCCATTGAGGATTTGGGGATGGTATTTCCATGTACCTTCTGTTTTGATAGTTTTAAAACCAATTACCATAAAATGCGGATATGATCCAGTTGTGGACTTAGCCTGTGGGTGTGGTTATCAAGAGAGTGAGGAGATCAGTGTTATCTTAGATAACAGCTGTCTCATCTATTAAATGTTCAGTAGAAACTGTTTTGTTAACTGTAGTAGAAGTGATAATAAATCATTGTTATTTGTGACAATTACTGAAATGTAAAACATTAAAATTTTTCCTTTTCATGCCTTCTCACTTTGGGGTACTGTTTGGAAATATACTTCATGCATATCTTCCCAGATTCAGCCCCACAAACAGGAAATGTGATTTACAGCATTTAAGCTTCTTCCAGGTGGCCCTAGTGGTCAAGGACCTGCCAATGCAGGAGACGTAAGAGACGTGGGTTCGATTTCTGGGTCGGGAAGATCTCCTGGAGGTGAGCATGGCAACCCACTCCTGTATTCTTGCCCGTAGAATTCTATGGACAGAGGAGCCTGGTGGGCTATAGTCTATAGGGTCGCAAAGAGTCGGACACAATTGAACAACTTAGCAGGCATGCACACAAGCTTTTGAGAGCTAAATGGGCTTGGCTATTGATTTCTTACTGCATTACCTGGGTTATTGGAAATGTATTTGTTAATCTGGCTGACAATGAGGTTGACAGTATAACAGTATTACCACCAAAAGCAGCTTTGATTTTTGCCTTTAATTAGAATTTTCATACCATAGCAGCTCGGATTTGTCAGGGATTCATGCTTTAAAGGGATTATGTTGAAGATTATAAAGTAGAACCCCTGTGAAAAGAGCCTGCATATCTGTCTTAGGAATGGCAGTCCCATACCCTATTGGCCAAGTTGCTTATGAATGTTTGAGGATTCCTGTCACACTTTAAGTTGCTGTGAAAGTGTAGAGCAACTAGAAAAATCCTCCCAAGGAAAAGGCTGATTGGGAGTTGGCATGGCAACTGTAAATAGGACCCAACCTTCCCATTTTAGAAAATTCAAACAAACCTTAAAAGAGCTGGAAGGAGAATGCCAGAATGATCGGAATACCTAAAAGATGAGAAGATAACAAAAGTGCTGTTTAATTAAAGAAGATACAATCAGAAAACAGTAGAAGGATGGTGTTAGCAAAGAGCTAAAGAGGCTTTCATTCTTTAGTCTAGCGGAAGCAGAATATCAGATGGCTGAGATGGGAGTGAGGCAGCCCTGTGGAGATGAGGGCATTGTGCTGAGCTGGGCAGCCTTCCAGCCCCGAGGTGGACCAAGGGGACAGGGTGCACAGGCTGAATTAGAGCACTGCCCACAAATCAATTAAAATATTTCATAATTGAGGGGAAATGGTTTCTAAGGAGCACTGCCTCCATGAAAGGGATCTGGAATAAGACCAATAATAAAATTAGCCAGACCTCGATTTGAGCCACTGCACGATGTGGCAGTGTTGGCTGTGTCATCAGCTTCAACCTCAAGAAAAAACCTGAACCCTATGTTACATGAAGGAATACAGGGCTTTTCCCAGACTGTAAATCAGCTGACACATTCGGATGACATTAATCATAAGGGAAGAGGCACTACTAACGTCTCTCCCATCCCACCCCCACATCATATTTACATATTCAAAAGGTGATATAAGATCAAGCCTCAAGGTGATTGAAATTTATTTGGAAGGGATAAGGCTAGGATATACATGGACAATACTTTAGACCACCTATTAAGCTTATATAACTGCTGCAGGTGGACACTCTAGATTCAAGTCTAGTTTAATCCCATTTCAGCCATTTAGATCCCTACATAAGAACTTTAGCAGGCATCATTCCAGATGGAGGAAGGGATGGCTATTGCCAAATACATGCCTTGACAATGCTTTCCTAAAATGGAAATGTCTCTACTGCCCTTACAGATTAAAAGACAAAATTGAGAGCAACTTAAATATCCATTATCTGGGTCTTCTTATATAAATACAATGTATTCCTCTTTTTTTTTTTCTAAATTAGAGAATGAGGAAGTTCACTTTGTTCTGATACAGAAAAATCTGTAGCATTTGGCATCCAAACAAGGAAGTAGAAACCACCATATACATTTCAAGTAGAGAAGGATGCAATGTAGGGAACTGGTTAAAAACTGCTGGAAGGGCTGAGGAGCAAAGAAAGAAGGCAGCTGTAACTTAAAGACTGGAAGCTGCCACTGCCTCTTGGCTGGGTCCTATGAGTGGATACTGGCTGCCAATGTTGCCGAAACCACCCCTAGGCTGGTGGAGCTTGTACCACAAGCAGTCAAGCCCAGTTGCAAGTCCCTGCTGCTGCCAGTAGCATGAAAGAGAAAGTGAGTGTCTGTCGCTCAGTCGTGTCTGACTCTTCGTGACCTAGTCCATGGAATTCTCCAGGCCAGAATACTGGAGTGGGTAGCCTTTCTCTTTTCCAGGGGATCTTTCCAACCCAGGGATCGAACCCAGGTCTCCTACAATGCAGACAGATTCTTTACCAGCTGAGCCACCAGGAAAGCCCAAGAATATGGGAGTGAGTAACCTATCTCTTTTCCAGAAGATCTTCCTGACCCAGGAATCGAACTGGGGTCTCCTGCATTACATGGGAAATAATTAATCTCTTTCCCCTACACTGAACCTACAATCTATGCCTTCCATTGAAAGAAGCTAACATGAAATCGATTAAATAAGTGAGTCTGGAAAAGGGGCTGGAGATTATCTAGAAGGATGAGTTTGGACCTAACAGCCAAGAGACACAATCTGTTACATCTACTCTTTTGCTGCTCATGTTCCATTGTATCCATTCAACATCATACTTCTACCTAACAGAAAGCAAAGATACTGACCATATAAATGAATTCAGGCTTACTCTGTCTCCAAAAGGGGGGAACACAAAGTGAGACCACTATAAGGAGGCAGCATCAGTCACTATTCACCTCTGGGTGATGTCACTTCCTCTTCTATTTTAATCACCATAGCACCTTGGATTTGAGAAGGAAATGGCAACCCACTCCAGTATTCTTACCTGGAGAATCCTGTGGACAGAGGAGCCAGGTGGGCTGCTGTCCATGGGGTCGCACAGAGTCGGACACAACTGAAGCAACTCGGCATGCAAGCATACATTGGAGAAAGAAATGGCAACCCACTCCAGTGTTCTTTCCTGGAGGATTCCAGGGACAGAGGACCCTCGTGGGCTGCTGTCTGTGGGATCGCACAGAGTTGGACACAACTGAAGTGACTTAGCAGCGGCAGCACCTTGGATATTCTGTAACCTAAAGACTAAACTGTAAACTTAACCACCAATGTGTTAACACTTGACAAAGCAAAAAGTATACAGAGCTGCTATAGTTCTTGTTTTAGTAACTGGTTACAAAAATAATTGAACGATAATGGTTAAGAGTTGAATCATAACTATTAATAAGCTTCTTCCATTGTCTAGCCCATGTCCCATCTGCCTTAAATTGACACCTCAGTTGTGCGGGGTTCCTTCCTGGCAAGATAATTTAAACCTTCCTTTCTAAAGGGTCTGAGTTTTTAGTAGTCTTGCAGGTTGCAATACTATTCCAATCATTGTTTTTCCATAATGGAAAGAGTTCAGCATAGTAACTGACTGGGGGCTGACTGGTCCCCCTGGGGAATGACGTCACTTCGGGCCTCCTCTGTCCAGCAGGTTAGGCACCCAGCAGTGACAGTAGCCAGAGCAGCCTTGGCAGGGGAAGTCCATATTGTTGAGCCCGTGCACGACTTCCATTCCTGCCACAATGGCCACATTTTACATGGGCCTACTGACCACACCTCAGGGTGGCTGGGAAAGGGGCTGACTGGTCCACAGAATGGGTATCCTGTCCAACTGGTTACTGAGAGCCTCAGAATGTGTCCTATGGTGAGCATTCACATATGATGCCACCCATACGGAGAGATTCATCTGCAAACCTCTTCCTATACTCCTGTGCCATCAATATACCAACCAAACCACTAGTCACCCGTGAATTGGTATACAGCCCTCCTTCTGGCCATCCCTCCATCCAAAGTGGACAACTGCTTTACCCCACTCCTGCTCCCGACTGTAATGTCTCTGCAGTCCACATCCTTCTGGTGCCTTCAGATTGTAAGGGGCCATCCGTGAACCTGATCCAAACATTTTCTTCCTCCGTCATCTGTCAATCCCAAAAGGACAAGAGGGGGGTGCTCCAGGAGTAGGAACTCACTTGTATGTTCAGGACCTGCTCGGCTCCAGTCTGGCGCACGCTATTTACACTGGATGAGGATTGCTGCTGTGCACACCAACCGTATGGCTGGTGGATCATTGTACTGCTGCAAAACAAATTATCCTGAAACTGAGCAACGAGCATTTATTATCTGTCATGGTTTCTGGGATTCAGGAATCCAGGTTAATTAAAAAGATCTGGCTCGGGGTTTCTTCACAAGATTGCAGTCAAATGCCAGCCATCCTTTCCTTGAGGTTTACCTAGACACGCTATAGGCCAGTGGTTCTCAAATGGGGGAGCAATTTGGGAGTAGAAATGGGGGAAGAGCTGCTGTTGGAATCTAACGCATAGAGGCCAAGGATGCTGCTAGACATCCTACAATTCTCAGATAGCCTCCCACATCAAAGAAGTTTGTCCCCAGATGTCCACACTGCTAAGGTTGAGACACTCTGCTAGGCAGCCTTGTTCTGCTCTGGTCCCCACACAAAACTTGGCAGCTTTATGTGTTACCCAGATGTGGCTTTGATCAACACACTCAAAAAGAGCGTATGCTATCTCAAAAATCAAGAGGTAGAGAACACTGTTGCTCTTTCTCAGAGATAGGTGGGTACAAAGCACACAATTTCCCTTTCAGTTTGGAGGGGAAATGCCACCATTTCCCAGACCACTGGACCCCTAGAAACTTCACTGAAGTAGCATGCCTTTGACTATTCTTGGAGTCTCTCTCCTACCCTCTGGCATACATGTGTCTCATCAAGGCATTGAGGGGATGTGCTGCTTCCTGCTCATCATGTCAATAATGTAATATATCAGCACTGTGTTCTGGGGAATATCAAGATCTTGGATCAAGGTCCCTGCAGACTAGATCTTGTCAGACAACAGAAGAGTCACATGGGCCCGAGAGAAGTCAAGGAGGGTGTTTTGCTGATCCTGTTAATTGAGAACAAACTCCATCTGGTGTTCTTTGTTAATCTGGTACCAAGGAAAAAAAAGCATCTGCCAGATCAATAGTTGCCTTCAAAGTGCCAGAAGCTCTGCTCTGTTATCCAGCAAAGAGACTACATCTGGTCCAGTACCTGAATAATTTCTCAAGAATCCCATCATTCTCCAACAACCACCTTCCTTCTGCCACACCAAACAGGTAAGTTAAGTGAAGATGTGGCAGGACAACCCCTGCATTATTCAAGTATTAGATGGAAATAATAATCTCTGCAACCTCCCAAGGATGTGGTATTGCTTTCAGCTTACTCTTACTCTTATGTAAGAAGAGGAAATTCCAGGAAGCTTCTGCAAGGTCCTGCCTACCATAATAAAGCTCACCACACAGGTCAGGGCATCAATACACGGGGATCAATAATCTTTTAGTTATTGAGGACACCTATCACAACTCTATTCAGGGATGGGAAAATAATTATAGTGGAGTACATGGACATGCTGAGAGGCAGCCACAGGCCAGAGTTTCATTTATCACCTGATCAAGTGACCTCTACACCCTTCATGTCCCAGAAGTATGTTGGGGCTTTGACTCAGAACTAATGTCCAGAAAATCCCCAAAGGCCTAGATAGTCCCCCTTCCTCAGTGCACTTTGGGGAAGACTTACAGGAAGATTTACGCTAGATATTTGGGCTTTCATGGTGATGCAGTGGTAAAAGAATCCATTTGCAATGCAGAAGCTGCAGGAGATGTGGGTTTGATCCCTGGGTCAGGAAGATATCCTGGATGAGGGTATGGCAACCTACTCCAGTATTCTTGCCTGGAGAATCCTTTGAACCAAGGAGCCTGGCAGGCTACAGTCCACAGGGTCACAAAGAGTCAGACACGACTGAAGTGACTTAGCACACAGGCATGCTAGATACTTATAGCAATGTTATAGGGTCCCTTCTCAAGGCTTCCCAGCCTCTTCCTCACTTAATATCAGCGCTCTCAAACCTTAGCATGCATAGGAATCAGCTGAAGTGCCAGCTAAAACAAAGACTGCTGGACCCCCGCCCCCAGAGTGTTCATGTCCCTTGGGCTAGTGGAGGGTCTGAAAATTTGCATTTCTAACAAATTCCCAGGTGCTGTTGCTGCTCCTACTACTTGGACACAGCTGCAAAATCAATCATCCAGGGATTTCTATGTCTTTGAGCTGATTCAGATCTGAGACTTGGGTGATGAGCTATTACTCTACATTGAAAAACTAAGGTTTCTATTCACTGGACCGAGAGATTTCCCAGTTACATAAGTCAAATAATTCTTAGTAGACCTCCCATCTGTTTTGGTCCTCAAGCTACCATGAAAAATAAACAAACATCAAAGATTCTTCTGTCCTGAAATACTCTGATTACTGCCCCAGACATTCTGCCCATGATAGTAACTGCACCCACCTTGCTGCCAGCTGTTAAGAGCTGCCACGTGGCTCTGCCCCTCCAGAAGCCTGTCACTGATGGATATCAAGCAGTCTATTTTAATGAAAGTGTCTTCTTTCATTGGTGAGATTCTTAAGAACCCCCAAACAAGAGACTGTAAATCTCTGCTGAGTCTAGAGAAAATTGACCACAATAATATCAATCAGGAAAGACATTTTCCACTCTTCTCAACAAGCTGTCTCTGCAAATCTCTATCTTGGAGAAGCTAGAAACTGTGGTTAGCATGATAGAGTAATAAGAGTAGACACCTTGCTTGGGCAAAAGGGAAAAAAGCTGATCACAGCTTCACCACTATTACATGCTTAGAAGATGAGAAGATTAAGCAGAGTTCTGATTATTACATGGAATTTAAGGTGGCTCAGAGAGTAAAGAATCTGCACATATTCTTGGACACAGCAGTTTTATTTCCAAGATCCTATTCTACAGACATACTAGCATCTAGATGCAAAGACACAATTTCCTGTTATTTATTAGAACACTGTATACAATATCAACAGCCTTCCTGGTGGCTCAGATGGTAAAGAATCTGCCTGCAATGCAGGAGATTCAGGTCGATCCCTGGGTCAGGAAGATCTGGAGAAGAAAATGGCTACCCACTCCAGTATTCTTGCCTGGGGAAGCCCATGGACAGAGGAGCCAGGCAGGCTACAGTCCATGGGGTCTCAAGAATCAGACTTAACTTAGCAACCAAACCACCACTATATAATATCAAAAGCCTAGAAAAAACTTAAATGTGGATAGATAGTGGATTATTAAATTCATACCCGGAATACCACGAAGCATTGAAAAATGAGGTTGATCTACATGTACTGTTCTTGGGAAAAAACCTCCAAAATAACTTAAATGAAAAATATCAAGGTAAAGAAGAGTGGGGAAAAAAAGCAGAGAATAAAATGATACACAAAGATTTGCATTATATACAAAACATTTATTTATATGTGCATGAAATATTTCTGAGAGATGTGGACTTACTTCCCATTGGATATTCTTTTCTAATGTTTTCCATTGTTTATGACTCAGATGGTAAAGATTCTGCCTATAATGCAAGAGACTTGGGTTCAATCCCTGGGTCAGGAAGATCCCTTGGAGAAGGAAATGGCAATCCACTCCAGTATTCTTGCCTGGAGAATTCTATGGACAGAGGAGCCTGGCAGGATATAGCCCATGGGGTCGCAGAGAGTTGGACATGACTGAGTGACTTTTGCTTTAAGGTATATTTATTATTTTTCATTAAAATTTAGTAAAAAGAGAAAAAACTTTACTAAAAGGAAAAAAGTAAATTTACCAATTCTGTCTGCGCATTACTTTACTAATGTAAAGAAAATTTTCTTATATAATGTTTATGGAGAAATGGTATTATCTTCTAGGTTGTTTTGGAAAGTAATGGAAAAAAATCCTTTTAAATTGATTTTTACTGAACCAGCAAGGTCTTTATTCGATAATCTGCAATACTGGGATATAAATTCTCATGGGCTTCCATGGTGCCTCAGATGGTAAAGAATCTACCTGTGATGCAGGAGACCTGGGTTCCATCCCTGGGTTGGGAAGATCCCCTGGAGAAGGGAATGGTAACCCATTCCAGCTTCCTTGCCTGGAGAATTCCATGGACAGAGGAGCCTGTTGGGGCTACAGTTCGTGGGGTTGCAAAGAGTCAGATACAACTGTGCAATTAACACACATACCCACTATAAAAGATTTTTACTTTCAGATATAATATTTTAAGACAACTAAATTCAATTAGGACAAAAGAGTGTTAGTTTCAAAGTGTATTTCTATTGGGCAACAATAGGCATCCTATAAAAACATTTTAGGTTGAATTGGATCACCAATTAGATGAATGTCAACCCTATGCACTGGGAAATGGGATTTAAATACAAAACACTATTGAGGCTCCCTTCTTTCAAAGGTGAGTTTGTAGGTGCGTATATATGTATGTGTATTTAATATAGATCAGCATCTTTTATTTTTAGTTTTTGGAAAGAACATAAGGGTGCTATGAACTCAAGCAGGAAGTCATTTTGATAGAGTTTAGCAAATGATTTAATCATATCATTAGCAATGAGTACCTTATCACTAGGAACAGAAAGGAAAATGAGAAGGAGAATAATCTCCAGTAGTAGAAATTCTCCTTGAGGCTGGAGTTTAAAAACATACCTATACTGAATCCAGAGAGTATTTTAAACATAAAAATTCTTATATTGATAGTTCTTAAAAATAAAGAACTATATCCATTAAGTACTTTCTGAAAAGGGAAAGTGGAAATTCATCATTTTTAGCATGTCAGTCTGGAATCTCTTATTTAGTCCTTTCATGAGCCGCATTTATATTGAAGATCACACTGACAAGACCTTGAAGTGCCTTCTGAAATAGCAGGTAAGACTGCATTCCTTTCTATATTTTTAGTATTAAGCATACTTACAGTAATAAAATATTTTGAAACCTACCACTCTATGCCATACATATAATAATCTTCTCATTTCCCAACCTTAAGGGTATTCTAAGCATTAGGAATTCTCTGCTGTTT